GGACATGGTGGCACACACCTGTAGTTCCAGCTACTTGGAAGACTGAGGTGGAAGGATCATCTGAGCCCCTTAGGTCAAGGCTGAGGTAGCTGTTCTAGCCTTGGCAATAGTGAGACTCCAGCTCAAAATTCATTTTTTTTCAACTTATGAAAACATTGAACATCTTCCCATGTTAGTATACACATCTACATTAACGTAAGTGGCTGTAGTAGCATTCATGTGAATCATGTTACTGGCACACACCCATCCCATTTTTTTCTTCCAAGAATATTGTGTGTTAAAATGTGCATACTGAAGTATCTGTGGATTAATAGATTGGGTTTTGCTTAAAAAATAAGTGGGTAGGGACACAGATGGGGATGTAATACGTTAAATAATAATTTGAGTTAGCCTCTAAAGCCAGATTAGTGGATATGCAGGAATCCATTGTAATACTGGCTTCATTTATACTGGTTTCTTTTTTCTTTTTGAGTTTAAGTCTCATTCTGTCGCCCAGGCTGGGGTATAGTGGCATGCTGCTCACAGTCTTGAACTGCTGGGCTCAGGCAATCCTTCCGCCTCAGCCTTCCAAGTAGCTGGAACTAAAGGCAGGCGCCACCACATCCGGCTGATTTTCTTGATTTACTGTAGAGACAAGGTCTCACCAAGTTGCCCAAGTTGGGCTCGAACCTCTGGAGTCAAGCAATCCTCTCATCTGCACCTCTCAGAGTGCTGGGATTACTTAAGGATAAGTCACGGCACCCAGCTAATATTTTTCATACTAAAAAGTGAACAAAATTGTTCATGTTAGGCAACCAGAGCCGTCATTGGTTTAGGAGGTAATTTCTACAATGTAATGATCTACAAACACAGGTTTTTGTTTTGTTTTTACATGAGATGTGTTTAAGAGATGTTGTCCAACCCCTTAGCAAAATATGTGGGGCAGAGGTAGGAGGAAGGGAGTCCTCAGTTTAAAGTGTTGGCCCCACTGAGCGTGGTGGCTCATGCCTGTAGTTCTAGCACTTTGGGAGGCAGAGGTGAGAGGATTGCCAGAGCCCAGGATTTGAGGCCAGCCTGGGCAACTTGGCGAGACCTCGTCTCTACAATAAATCAAAAAGTTAGCTGTGCATGTGATATGGTGCACACCTTTAGCTCCAGTGATGTGGAAGGCTGGGGTGGCTGTGAGTATGCCACTGCTCTCCAGCCTGGGCAACAGTGAGACTGCCTCAAAAATAAGTACATTAAGTAAAGTAGAATATAATAAAATGTTGTCCCCTTGACTTTTGGCCACGTAAAAAATTTTTTTTTTATAATTGTTTGCAAGCTGGGTGCGGTGGCTCACGCCTGTAATCCCAGCACTTTGGGGGCCAAGACTTCATCTCTACACTAAATCCAAAAAATAAGCTGAGTGTGGTGGTACGGACCTGTAGTTTCAGCTACTTGGAAGGCTGAGGCGGAAGGATTGCCTAAGCCCAGCAGGTCGAGACTGTAATCCCAGAACATTGGGTGAGCAGTGTGCCACTGCACTCCAGCCTGGGTGACAGTGAGACTCCAACTCAAAAAAAAATTTGTTTGCCTTATTGGAAAATGCTCCTTTCCCTGTTCTTTGTTTTAGTTTTTTGGTTTTTTTGAGTCACAGTCTCACTCTTGCCCAGGCTGGAGTGCAGTGGGGTTAAGTCATCCTCCCACCTTAGCCTCCCAAGTAGCCAGGACATGCCACCACACCTGGCTAATTTTTTTGTTTTTTTTAGAGACAAGGTCTCACTATGTTGTTTAGTTTGGTCTGGATTCCTGGGCTCAAGTAATCCTCCCAACCTGGTCTCCCTAACCTGTTAAGTGCTGGAATTAGCAAGGATGACCTACCATGCCCAACCTCCTGTGTTTTTGGCATTAACTAAGTGGGATAAGGGAGTGTCCAGCACCAATGATCCCTTTTCCATGGGACTAAACTGAATAATTCTTAAACAAAAAGTATGGATTTTAAATTTAATTGTTTTATGACTAGCTTTCCTATATATAAATATTGCTATTATAATTAAGAAAAATCTTGATATACATTCTGTTAGACTGAATAGGAGGGATTTGATACAAATTCTTTTTTTTTGAGTTGGGAGTCTCACTCTGTTACCCAGGCTGGAGTGCAGTGGCATGCTCACAGTCACCCCAGCATCAACCTGTTGGGCTCTGGGGATCCTTCTGCCTCAGCCTTCCAAGTAACTGGAACTACAAATGCTTGCCATGAGGTCTCACCAAGTCGCCCAGGCTGGTCTCAAACCCGTGGGCTTCCAAAGTGCTGAGATTACAGACTTGAGCACCAAGCCCAGCTGATACAAATTTTTAAAAGTAATGAAACTGAAATAGTTGGCTAGAGGCGGTGGCTCACACCTGTAATTCCAACATTTTGGAAGGCAGAGGTGAGAGAATTGCCTGAGCCCAGGGGTTTGAGACCAACCTGAGCAACTTAGCAAGTCCTGATCATTGTAAAAATTAGCAAGGCCTGTGCCTGTAGTTCCAGCTACTTGAAAAACTGAGGCAGAAGGATCTCCTGAGCCCAGCAGGTTGAGACTGCAATAGCTAAGAACGTGTCATTGCACACCAGACTGGGCAACAGTGAGACTCCCATCTTGACTCAAAAAAAGAAAAAAGAGGAAGTAAATATTTATTGGTTAATGCTTGCCAGTCAACTGGTTTGCTGCTGGCATAGACTTTTTTATTTAAACTTCTCAGTAGTGTTAATGAGGTGGTTCTCTGTGGAAAAGTTGAGACTTAGAAAGTTATACAACTTGCTTCCCCAGGGTAATCCAGCCAGTAAATAGCACCTCTGAGATTTGAAGGCTGGTCTTGTTTGCCTCTAGAGTTTGCTCTCCACTATGATACCTTTACTTTCCTTTAGTAGTAAGTACTTTTCTTTAGTAACAAGTAGGACTCATTCGCAATTGCTGATGTGAAATTACATCATTCCAAAATCTGTTCCTGGTTGCCACTGACATGAATTTAGGCCTTTGCAAATTCTGTTTCTGAATAATATATATTCGGTTTGTAATCCACATAAAAGTACAAAGTACAGGATGCTAGTCAGAGAAGTGTCCGAGGCAAATACTGGGTATGTCTGCAATTCTCATCTGTATTGTGAAAAAGGTGACAATTTAGAAAGACCGTTTCACTAGTGCTTAAAGACATGTTTGCAGCAACCAGCTTCAGATTTTTATCTTCACTTGCAATTAGGAAAGTGAAAAGTTTGCTGATCACAAATGTGTTAAGTGGGCTTTATTTCTGGGATGTTTTTAGCATCTGCAAGGACTTTAACATTTCATTTTTTTATGCACACACAAATATATACCTATGTGTAAGATTTTGTGATTCTGACCTTAGTTGGATATTTAGTGAGAGTACAAAATAAATCTTTTGTTTTCAGGCATGAAAGATGGCCAGAAGATAACATTCCATGGTGAAGGAGACCAAGAACCAGGACTGGAGCCAGGAGATATTATCATTGTATTAGATCAGAAGGACCATGCTGTTTTTACTCGGTATAGATTAATCAACCATTTAAACTGACATCTTTCATACTTGGTTTGTTGGGAGGTTTTTAGTGTTTTTTTATGAGTTTTCCATTACTCTAGAACATATTTTCTGAAAACCCTAGAAAAGTATAGCAAGGGAGTAAGGCCATGTATAGCATGTCTTGTAGGTTTTTAACCACTGTTTCAGTTAAAGAGGTTGAGAACAGATAGGATCCGATTTTTAATTTTTTTGTCTAAAACTAAATTGTCACCTAATCTGAAACTTTAAAAATGCATTCAAATAGGAGATGTTTTGTATGAGCATCAACAGGTAGCAAGTGGCTGAGGGAAATGTCCCTAGACAAAACTTTGCTCTCAATCTTCAAATAAAACAGCTGTCTTAAAGTAAGGGCTGTAAAGCTTTCACCAGTTTTCAATACTGAGTTTTGATAACTTAAATTGCTTTTTGTCATGTAAAATCCAAAACCATCTTTATAAGAAACTAAAGTTAGGACTAGGTGCAGTGACTCACACCTGTAATCCCAGCTACTCAGGAGGCTAAGGCAAAGGGAGGATCACTTGAGGCCAGGAGTTCAAGACTAGTCTAGGCAACATAGTAAGACCTTATGTCTAAAAAACAAAAATACATAAATTAGCCAGACATAGTGGTTTGTACCTGTAGTCCAAGTTACTCTGGAGGCTGAGGTGGATGCCACTCCTTCCCTTTCCCTCCTCCTCCCCC